CAGGAAATACAACCCACCCCCAGCAGCTTTTTTGGGTAAGAGAATCCAACGTTAACTAGTTCAGACCACTTGAGCCACGATGCAATATCAAGGAAATAAAGACCAACCCACTGAAGGGATAAATCAAAGAAAGGAAAGATCACTTGCCAAGATACTGGTTTTTATAAATATGAGTGTTCAAATGTATTCATTTTTCCTCGCAATCTATATATAAATCTGTATATACAGTACAATACAATTGTCCACATTTTGTACAGAATTTCATGAAAAACATGGAAGTGAAATGTTTCGTTAATAAATACAAATTTTATGCAGTCAAACTATAATAATGATGTGTCATGTGTATCATGTTTTCATTTCAAAGACAATCCATCCTTTGCAGATGGAATAAATAAATCCACGCTGAATATGCAGGGGAAAATGAATATATTTTGCCCAAACAAAAGCCTGTTATGCATTATTTATGCTGTTCATGAACCAATAAAGAAATCTGTAAAATTTTTATCAAGCAAACTTGGAACATTTTTGATAGAAATTGTTTTCACTACACACTCTACATTCACATGTGCAAAGAGAACAATGGTTGAAATGTTGTGTACTTGTGTGCAAATCTAGGGTTTCCAAGCCAAATAATGAACAGCAGCCGTGTTCCCATTGGATTTTTTGGGGGTTAACTTACAACCATGACAACTTTCCTGTAGAATGACACAATTAAATACAATGGCGACATTGGTAAACTGACATCCCTGTCAACTTACCATGACCGTAATGTGAAACTACCAGGCCAAAAGTGGTCACAGAAGACGTCAGCAGAGCCTTCGTAAGTTGGCAAGGATGCTAAAAAGGCCAATGGGTACAATTTCGTGATGTAGATTGGTCAATCTACAAGCACAATGTTCCTCTGAACAGGACAGCTCACTGCTACACAGAGATCATCAGCGGGTGTAGCACACCATCATATGGCGTGAAAAGACTCTGAAGTGTGTACCCAGAGAAAGCTATGCACGCCACATATAGGGTGTTACATTTGGCCGAATTTGTCAAATTTTGTCACATTTTGTCATATCCTGCTCAGGTCAGGTCTCAGGTTTCACATTGCGAATAAAAGTTTATGTTCCGTTATGGTAAAAAAAGCCCAAGTGAGAATGCGCAGTAGACTGACAAGGAATGTCACGATAACTTCCATAAGTTTCTGCATGCCCCCAGAAGAATGTCCAATGGCACTCAGCAGAAGTAATGTGAAACCCACCAATACCCCAACCGTAATCAATCAGGATAAGAAAAATCTGGGGGGAAAAAAATCAGGGACATTCAAATCCATATTTTGTGATCAAACTACTGGTTTTTGCTTTCTGAATGATTTTTCAAAGGTGGGTAATTCTGCCTGTATTCTTCAGATATTGTGGGAAAAAAACAAATGAGTACAACAAAAATTAAAAGGCCTAGTCCATTTGTTTGTGCCAAATGTACTCCTAAAACCTTAACTGGTTAGGTGGGAATAGAACTAGAAAACATGATGCTTAGATGGATGTAGTACACAGATAAGATTACTAAATAAATCTGAGACCTCATTACTATCGCACACTATCTGCTCCAAGCGGAATAAAAGAGGGTGTGTTTTTTGGTAGTCACTGCATAGGCACGCATTTATAAACGCACGCCTATGCGGTGAATACCCCAAAAAAGAGATCAGTGGCATGTTTGACGTAGAGAACAATGAGTACGTGTAACAAATTTATTCCTTTATGTATGGTCTTTGCGTACAAGCAGAATGTGTGCAAGAACCTGCTTAAAAAACTTACATCCTCCTGTCTTTCTTTTGCCGCTTAGGGGTGCACTTCAACTCGGGGTGGACAGTATCAGAAATGTAATATTTGAGTATTTCTGTCTAAAAAACTTCCATCTTACAGCAATGATAGTCTGAAGACAGAAGTCATCTGTTTAGAATGTAATCTGAGCTTTTTGCATGTGCCATCCAATGTTCTCCCACTCTTTTCACTCTTGGATACTTTGATTTTTGGCTAATGCCAAAGCATTCATTGTTGAAAAGTGCGAGGGATCAACACTGGTTAAACTTGTCAATGGTTTAATGGCTTTGTCACTGATATTTTCTCTAATATCATCTTTTTTCATCTAATATCATTATATTAGAGTATTTAACTCCTTCCCAACTTCAGCTGTGGTATTAAAGGAATTTCTGTGGTAAGTTGCAAAGGAGGCACGAACTTGCTTTTCATATCATCTCTAACATAGCTGCCATCTCACGCATTTGCTTGGAGAAATTCTGCAAAACAATATTAAAATAAAATTTATAAAGACTTGTGTCTTGTGAAACGTTAATGATGCAAAAGAATTCTGAGATAAAAGTCTGCTAGGTTCTGCCATGATAGGCATTGTCGTAAGGTGATGTGTTTATCTTTTTTTGCAATAAAAAGCCAGGCATTCTTACTGCAGAAAAAGAGTACACTCATTCTGTCATTCTGTTTATACAAGTCTGCAAACACATTGTCATTCAAATTCATACACAAAGGTCACACAAGTATCTTTTTACCATGTTCTTCTGTATAATCAACATTCCAATAGCTAGGTGTCACAATGCTCTGGAACTGGTGTATGTCTGGTACGTAATTGGAAAATTCCATCAAGACCTCTGGTAAAAATTTAAGAGCCAGAAATAAAATCCTGCTAGCACAAATAGAGAGAACCCAACCCTGCTTCTGCATTACCTTAAATTCAGCTACGGTCATCTCTAATGACTTGGTAGTGACCTTGCCTGACGGATCAGCAATCTTGAGGGTCATCATTACAAAGGTAGAATTGAGACTCCTGCAGATGCCAGATGTCATAGCCACACCCAGCTTCCACTGCATGTCTACTAGCTGGCCTACACTCAAGACTCTGTGGACCACCTCACTAGAGCTCAAAGATTGACCCTGCAAAGAATTATACATAAGAAATGAACATTATGCACAGAACAAGATTTATACATCACATTTTCAAGATACTTAACTTATTTTTTGTTCGTTTTGTTTTGTTCGTTCTCTTTCTTTTTCTCTTAGTACAGACTAGGAGAAAAAGAAAGAGAACGAACAAAAAAATGAAAGATAAACCCTCAGTGAGTGCCTCAGTGAGCAAGCTATCTCAAAAATGTAAGGTACTGTAAAGGTAAGTTAATAGTAAAACAATGGTCTTGGCATAAGCCTTAACTACATCACGCCGGGGGCATTTATGAATGTTGATAATACCGGGACGGGATAATTATCATTTTTTTCTGTTTTCAAAATTCTTTAAAATTCATACATGTATCTTCATTTACTGGACACTTACATCCACACAAAGGACTGTCTAGTTCTACTCTAATCTGACACACCTCATCTATTGACGCTGGAGTATTTAAGTGAGGCAATGCCGCCTTGTAAAAAGAGCCCCGATTTTGCGGTGTTACATAATTTTCTTCTGTTTACAAAACTGACGGTGCACTGCTGACCTCTTTTCAATGGGGCCAGATTAGCATGCAGCGGTACTGTGTGGCTCATTGCTGTTGCGGTGGAGTGCTTTTGCCCTCGGTGGTAATGCCCTAAACCGTGGTATATTGTTTCAAAACAAGGCTGAATTATCTCCACTATTGAGAGTGAAAAAATGTGGGTAATTCCCACGAGTATGGTCTTTTGTCACAAGGCCCAGTCCCCTTTGTCCGATTTCGGAGACCCTGGCCATGCATATCAAGAATAAGTGTCCGAAACTGGACTCTCCAATGGCAAGTGGTTAATATCCACCCTTTCAAGCAACTGAACTACATGTAGTCTTGAGGGAGCTGCATTCACGTTTTTGGGTCAGTGTGTGTCAGGTCAGATGACATGTACATGTAGTTGGGTCTGGACTCATGTTGAATGTTCCATGACACTAGCTTTAAGCTGCCCTAGGCCTGCATGTAATATATAGGTTAAGCCTTCCACTTCTATATTTGCAAGGCTTGTCTTTCAGATAAACCAAACTGCACCTTGCCCACCAAGCAAGTCCAGCTTGTCAATGCTAACTCTAGATGTGTGTAAATCTTACAAATTAATGCTATTTTTCATCATGCTGAAACAAGGAAATTCATGGAGGTTCTGTATATTCACCTTCTCTATCCACACTTCCTTGACAATGTCTTGACAAGTGTCCGACCATACAAGGCTCTGTTTAAGTTCCTTCACTAAGTCATCTGCAGAAACCTTTTCCCTTGCTGCTGATCTGAGTTGAAAATCACATACGACACAAAAATTTATTTTACTGTTCTAAACTATTTGAAATTAAAGGTAAAAATACAATTACTCTCTCAGTTCAGACTTCTCGAACAGGGTATTCAAAACTGTCTGGGTTAACCGATGGCAGAAGCATGACAGAAGTACAGGGCTGATTTCTCAGCCGTGCTACTGCTAGAAATATCTGGGGGATCCAAAATGTTATAAGGAAAAATGTTTTGAGGTTTGGTATAGGGTCATTCCATTTCAGGTTTTTGCCCCGATGAACTGACGTTTTGACCTATGAACTACCATTTTGGGCCAAGTTTGGCTAAAATGGGCTTTACCACCATTTTTCAAATGATCCTTTCTCCTTCAAGATCAAATGAAAGGTCAAAAGGTCAAAACTTCAAATTTGCTTCTACATCAAAACTAATGGTAACTTCACAGTTACCTTTCCAGGGATACCTTTATTTGGTTAATTGATGAAGGCGATAGGATGGGCCAAAAATGATGGCCCATAGCTTGAAAACTGGTGGTCCAACGGGGCTAAAACTTGAAATTTTAGCTTTTTCAGCCAGTATTAACTCATAAACCAAAAATGACTCAATTTGAACAAAGTCAGGTGTGACCCTATACTAAAACTGAAAAGCGACAAGAAGACAGTACTGAGGTTAATGAAGAAATCTTCATTAACAAATACTTTTCAATTATCTTCAGAGATGGAACCATGAAATTGCTGCATACCTAAAAAGAAATGTTAGAGCATTGATGGCTCCCAGTACAGCTTGTTCACAGCTATGTACATTAGCTTCATGCAGCTTCTGAAAAAGGAAATATATATCAACAAGATGAACACACACTTATGCCCAAGGCTAGCAGGCTAGCAGTCACTACACTTCACTGCCAAACTGTGAGTGAAACACATTCATGTACTGTCAAGTATAGCAATGCTGAAATTCTCACGTATCCCTGACCTGAGTTGGGTTGCTACATTGGAATGATTGTCAACTTTCTAATTGGTCATATTTTTTTTAATCTCTCACTCTCTCTCCACGCTTTCTGTTGGAAAAGGATTTTAATGAACCAAGGGATTTAATGAATTAGAGATGATTAATAGCAAAATGTCTGTATTCTTACTTCAAGAAACTGGGTGGCACTGACAAGACCCTTTGAACACTGCAGGAATGCAATGACTTGGTGGCAGAGTTCTGTTAACAGGTCAGATGGCAATTGGTTTAGGAGTTCCACAGCATTGAAGAAGCCTACAAAAAGAGCAGAAGTCCAATCCACTGAATTAATCTGCCTCCCTGGCATGTACATACATATGTGCGTGTGTTAATGTTTAATTGACAAAAATATAAGACACAACGTCTTCAATGATCACACTCGACTTACAGCACATTTTATTCATTTTGAACATTTCATTCCACACATGAAGCAGTTAGAATCCTGCAGTCTCCTGAAGATGGACAGAGTACACTGTTC